ATACTGCCATTTTTTTTTCAAACAACACCGAGGGTGAGGGTTAAGGTCGAACCCAGTTTGTATATAAAAAATGCCCTAAGTGGGTTGAAAGATCACAATGCCACAAATTCAATGTCTGATATACATCAAGTCAAACGAAAAACTAAAAACAAAAGCAAGAAAAAAGTATAATGAAAAGATGACAATTGCAGCGATAAAACAAAAATAATAGATACTAGTCTGGGGAGAGTCCCGGCAAAGAAGTCTGCATCACAGTGTGGCAGATGCGCCAAAACATAAGAGCGACTACGCAAATCTGAATGAAGGGTATCTCATCTGGTCCATCCGTATGAGAGTGCGGAGGCGGAGAGGGATATCATCAGGTAGAGAATGCGTCTCTGGGGGGAGGATGACCCGATGCCAGCAAAGAAGTCAGCAGGCCGATTCCCCTCGCGAAGATGTGTGAGATCCGAGAGAGAATCGACCGAAGAGTGAATCTTATACATATGAGATACTGCCATCCACTTTATGGTCTAGTTTTGTAAAACAAAGCCGGAATGGGTCATTGACCTCTAATGGTCGGCCCAACTAGGGGCGGATCTAGCAAATATAATGAGTGGGAGCTTAATTTTCGCATTGATTCCAGAATTTCTCGTCCTATATTTTTTCTGCCTAAAGATACTAGAACTTCCCTCATTGGATTCAAAGTATCTTCTTTTGAAACATTTTCACAAGAATTTTGTTGACATGTCCTTTTTTCAAAATATCTTTCAAGATGAACAAAAATAATATTATAAATTTACAATAAATAAAATTCCCCATTTTGACATAGCACACTTTAAACAGTTGTAATAAAAAAAATTAAAAAGTGCTTGAATGTGCAATTTCTACATAAAAAAGTATATTTGCCACTGTCTAAAAAAATAAAGAAGAATAATTTTTACCTCTATTAAAACAAACAGAAAGAATTTTGTTATCTTGTAAGTAGTATTCTCGTATAGATTGACAAACTCTTTGACTCTTTCCTCTTTCCCTCTATTTTTCCATCTTTTTATTTCCCTCTGTATTTGTCTGCGTGATTTATGTACTCTTTTTTCTTGTTTAATTATTTTGTTAAATGCTTTATTAGTTTATTATACTTAAACTTGTTTATTGGGCTCCTATGGGCTAGTAGTAATACTAGGGTTTAGTCTTTGTGAGTTGGACAGTTTTGATTGGGCTGATATGATATAATTAGTACTACCTTCTATTTTTAATATATGTCGTTTTGAGAAGTTGCAAACTAATTAAGAATATTTTTTTTGTCAATAATAACCTTATATAATGAAGATAGAGATGAATGTTTTGAGAAAAAGTGAAGAGTGAATATGAAAAGACGTAATGTATTTATTGACTAAATGAGGGTAATAATGGAAAAATATGTACAACATATCCAAAACGACATTTATT